GTAGCTTACTCAACCTCTCTGAGCCTCAGTTTTGGCATCTGTAAATGGGGATTGACAGTATTGTCCTCACAGATTTGTTGAGAGAACATTCCACGGGACAGCATATGCGAAGTGCATAGCACAGAACCTGGTCACAATAGGGCCTCAGCAAATACTGATATAAACGAATGCCCATGGCTAATGCCAATCTCCAGACACAGTGGGCACACCTGGCCTGGAATGGAACTTCCTGTGGCCATGTTTGCTTGGGATTTCAGGGGCGTCATCTTATAATTGCTGCTCTGTGAGCCCATACGGTAACCTGCTATCCACAAGTGCCCTTGCCAGGGCCACAGAGCAGGCCTCCCAAGAACTACATCAGTCTTGGGCTGGTGGATGCCACCAACTTTTGAGCCACTGACCTGAAAAAGCACTCTTGAGTTCTAGGAGGCCTTGCCCCTTTTTATGTGAAACCTCTTGGTAAGGTAAGGTATCCAAGTCAAAAATTTAAGAAGCACCTATAGAGTTCAAGGCTTTCAGAGTGCTAAGGAAAGCCACTGACCAAGAGACAATATAGGCATAACCTTGGTTTGCTCCACAGAGCCGAGCCAGCCCTCAAACCACTGTTCCATTTCTGGCCTTAGATATCGTCTGTGGATGAAATGAGGGATGAACGAGGCTAGAAATAACCCTCTGAGAAAGAAACGGGAGAAGAGACCATTTTCCTTTTAAGTTCCAGCCTGAGGTTTTGAAGTCTAAGGCACAAAACCATTGTGAACAGCTGCTTTTTTTAAAACCATGTGTTAGTTTAGTCCACACATTCTGATGATATGAATGAGACAGAATTGCAAAAATAATATAACTTTTTAAATTCAGTGAGTGATCTTTTTTCTGTGACCACTTATTTAGAATTTTCCAGTCCTTCTGGGCTATGACTTTTTTTTTATTTCTCCCTGAATTACATTTCTTTTCCCTTCTTTTAAAAGGAATGAATCTTACCCTTGCCACACAAATTCACATTATTTTTGTTACCAAGATCAATACCCAAATTTCTTCCTAATTTACTTGAAAAAAATGTCACCTGGCCTCTTGGAGCATAAGGCTGAAGGGTCACACTGCTCCTCCAGCAGTGGCAAAATCTTTAGAAAGGCAGACTGTCCTTGGGGTCAGTGACCTAGGCAAGATAGTGACAGTTAGGTATTTCACAAGGGGAGAAACATTTAACCAGAAGCTTGAAAACAACTGTAGATGAAAAGACAGATTTGAATCTGAGGAATCAAAGCTACAGCAAGACATTTCTTGGTTGATATTCCCCCTCCCTGACCCATGGTAGCAGACGCAGTGGGAGGCTGAAATAAGTCGGTGCCAGGGCCTTCTTATTAACTGAGCATTCACAATACTTCACTGTTCTCAGCTACTGAGATGACTTTCAGGAAGCAGCCCCCAGGGCTATCTAATCACCTTATTTGATTCCTTCTAACGTATACAATTGAATGTGTAGGGTAGGGATATGGGAGTGAGTGGATTGAAGCACAAAGATGTTTTGGACAGTGCACATCTTTTAATATAACTGATGAAGTTGTCATTATGAAAGTACTGAAATAGCTAAGCATGCAGGAGGGACAACTTATTAGTTGCTAAGCTTCCTATTAACTGTTGCCTTTCCATATGATAGGATCCCCCAGTTCAGCAAAGTGGCTCAGCCTAAGAGGAAACATCTGAAGGTAGCAAAGTATGCCTATCATGTTCTTTGTTCCTAGTTGAATATGAATAGAAAAACCCTTCAAGCATAAATTCTTTGTTCAGCACCCTTTCTCCAATGAAATACCTTGTGTCTATGCTAAAGAGCTTACATGTAAGGCAATAAGGAGAGGGCAAAAGAGTTGTGGGCCGTGTGACTAAAGTTGCGTGGCAGAGGCCAACCTGGCTTCCCTTCCGGCCTTAGAACAGCCGGCTGGTGGCATCTGGGGATATAGCCCACCAGAAATAACCGAGGCCTGCATTTAGATGTTACTGACATACAAGTCGATGTAATCGTGAGGAGGGTAATAAGAAGGCAACAAGTGGGACTTCCCTGGCAGTCCAGCAGTTGAGACTCGGAGCTTCCACTGCTGGGGGTGCGGGTTTGATCCTTGGTCAGGGAACTAAGATCCTGCATTCTTCGCAGTGTGGCCAAAAAGAGAAAAAAGAATGCAGCAAGTTATCTCAATCCAGACACTTCCTGGAAAATTTAGACAATGTAGGGGCTTCCTTGGTGACAGATGGTAAAGAATTTGTCTGTAGTGCAGGAGATGTGGGTTTGATCCCTGGATTTGGAAGATCCCCTGGAGAAGGGAACAGTTACCCATTCCAGTATTCTCGCCTGGAGAATCCCATGGACAAAGGAGCCTGGCGGGCTACAGTCCATAGGTTGCAAAGAGTCAGACGTGACTAACACTTCCATTTCACTTTCACTGCAGTATGGTATTGCAAGGGAGAGAGTTCTCCTACCGTGAGTTTAACACCAGCCTTTCAGGGAATAGACAACTTCCATCTGAATCATTCTTACAAGCTGAATTTTTATTTTTACTAAATAATCTATGTTAAAAAAATCTGTGCCTGGTGTGGAATTTCACTCCATCAAGTGTTACAATGACTTTTTCATTTTCATTACAAGCAGGAGACTGAATGTAGAACAAGTGTTAGGAAACATGGCAATAAATTAGAATATAATTTACAAAGCAAAAAAAAGTAACAGTGTACCACATTAATACTGAATATAAAATAAGCAACAACTAATCACAATAATACAAAGGTAATTTCATTCTGTATTATTAAGGATACCTATGTGACATTCACTCAAATAATAAAATTCCTAATGAAATGGACTGTTCGGGGAGTCAGTTGGCTACGCTTACCTTGCCTTTTTTGGTGGGTCTCTATGCAGTGGCAGATACTGCTCTCAGTCATGGGGTGCCAGTTTCCTTAGGCTTCTCTAAGTAGCCTACATAGCTCACTTCTTTTGGAGGGCCTGCCAGGGTGGCTCAGCCTCCACAGACAATCCTATTGTTAATATTTAGGAACAGGGCATCAGGCAGCCAGGTGATGGACAAGAGAGCAGCAGCAATGTTGTGATGTGATATGGAATATGACTTTCTCAGTCAGGTATAAACCCGAGGCCAATCGAAAGTTTAGTCCTGTTGTATATTCTGTGCTTCGATCTTTCCAGAAAGTAATCTGATGCTGTTTCCAGGTGCTCTCTGCCCCCTGGCCTTGCCACTGCACAGCCCCCAGAGGGACACGGCTACCCTCCTTTCTAGCACCAGCTGGGGAGCTGCAGGGGGCCCAGGGTTATGGCCATTACAATGTTAGTTCCTGGGTGAGGGGGAAAGGAGCCTCTAGTCAGCAATGTAAGAAATCTTCTTGAAATAAAAACATAAGCTGGCATTTACGTTGGAAAAAAGCAAATCCTGACAGCAAACCTATGTCTAAAAGGTGCCACAGAAACCACCTGTCCTTTGTTGGTCTATTTTATTTCACCAGGCACGTTAGCACCGAGTTAACTGCTTTTTGCAAGGGACCAAAGGAAGTCAGTGCTTGCGGGCTGCCTGCCCTTCACTGATTGGCTGAGGTGGCACCTGGGCTGTCTTCCAAGGCAGCGGAGAGAGACGCACTGGCCACTCTCGTCCACTGTCAACAGCCCTCTCTGGAAACTCAGGGATGTGAGCGGTGGTGTTGAGAGAGAAAGCAGGCGAGGAGACACAGACGACCATGACTGGGCATGCCAAGCAATAAACGTCCCAGGCTGCCTGTCCACAGCAAACCTGACGTTCAGTTTGGTTTTTGAAGAGTATGAGTTTCTCTTCCTTTCTGAAAAACCTAACCAACCACTCTTAGGTCACGGTGTATGATACACCTGACATGTCATTTCAGAGCACAGTGAGGGTTTAACTCAAACACACTCTTTAGCTGCAAGTAGTATCTTGCAAAGTAGCCATTTGGTTTGAGTTTGAGGTGTTGGTGTCGCATGGTGCACTCGTGTTTTGGACACAAAACACATTCGTCAAGATCCTGCTGCAAGTGTTCAAGTACAACATATTCATATAAGCAAGTACCCTCTTTTTGTTTCTCTTCTTAAAAAATCTCACTGTCAAATCTTTTTAATGAGCATGATGTGAAACTTGTGGACAGGGAAAATGTGAGCTAGTCAATTTAATTTAGGTGGATTTGATTCTAGAATTTGAGCTACCCAAGAAACTGGGTTTCACATTTAATTGCCATTCAGAGTATCCATAAAAAATACAAAATCCTTGGTTAGGTGACTACTAAAATGATGCTTTATGATCTCTAGTCTTCATGAGTTTTTCTTCTTTGGTTATTGTCCCTTGCCTACCTTAGAACTCACAGAAATAGCACATCTATGTGCAAGCACACTCATCTACCCACACACTCAAAAGCGCCCACACACACACACACACACACACACACTTGCTCTCATATAAATAAATGCCCCTCTGCCATATCAAAGAAGGGACATCTGGAACCCATCATAATTGTCAGCAAAAGGGTCTGCCTGGCCGTCACCGAGCCAGTCTGTCTTTTGCATGGTATCATCTCAGCAAGCTCAGCGTGCATATGCAACGATCCAACAGGGCAGAAGCCGTCTGTGGCTGGAGAGGGTGTAAACACGAGTGAGTTGGGGTGACTCAAATGAGAACTGAGGCAGCCTGTGTGCTGGCAGCAAAAGGCCTGGTGCTTCAGTCTCTACCATACCCCAGGTCTGCTTCTGCATGAAACTGACATGTTTTTCTCTTAAAGTTTTAATGGAAATCTCAGCTTCACTTGCACAATGGCAAGTTGGCCACAGTCTTTGAGCAGTGAATTTATAGACTTGCACAGCCGCAGTAACTGATGCACTGCTTTAAACTAAGTCCTTCATTGTTGTTCAGTTTAATATAGTTTATATACGGCTCACAGCAGTGTTCAGAACAGGGGGATTATTCCCAAGGAAATTAAGTGGAATGAAGAAAAATAATACAAACTTTCATTACTTCTGATTTATAATTGCTCCTTAAATTACAGTTCAAAGCCCATTTTAGAATTTAAATTGTGGTGCTGTTGTAGTGAGATAAAGTATAGTAAATATTTTTAAGCTATGACTTAAGATTTCTGAATCTTCTTTACTTCAATAGTTGACCAAGTCAAAACAGCTACATTTTAAACAGTTTTAAACACAAATGGATTCAGTGTCATTGCTAAGTCCATAATAAAAATTATCTTAATGGTCCAAGGAGGTAAACAGGCTATTGGATTTACTCGAAAGAACACAAAGGTTCCACAGTAAGCAAGTCTCCCTGTGTTGTTTGGATCTCTCCAATCTGGCATTCCCTCCTACTACCGTGTCCAGCACTTTGGATCAATAAATCCCACTTCACAGAAGTTAAAATAATATTGAAATCCTGTCAGCTACGGCTGACCAGTGGTTACGTTTTCCACAGGGTAATGCATTTGCAAGGACATCAATCCTCTTCCTCTGGGTGGCTCTCTGTGATGGATACATTTCCACGATGAAGTGACAAGGCGCTCTCTGGCTTTCCGCGGGTCAGTGTCCTTGGCAGGTCTTACAACACATCTGTCTGAAGTATGCTCGACTACAGAACTTGAACTTCAGCACCAGTGGGCAGTAAGCCACTTTGTTCACATCTTTGCACTCTAACAAGTGGGGGAAGAAAAGGGAAAACAATCAGAGACACATAAACAAGTACACAAACAATAAGTGTGGATGCTCGGCAGAGACCCCACCCCCACCCCACCCCACTGCCTCCCTGGGCCAAAGCACCTTGGCTTTCACATCCATGTGGTTTTTGTTTTCAAGCATACCCTGTCTGGTACACCCTACCAGAAATATTCTTTTGATACATTTTAACACGAATTTAAAAAAAAATGATTTGCAAGGCTTTTCTCCCAGACTTTTATAAGTATGGTGCATGCCCACTGTGTCTTGAAAGAATTACCATTTGTTGGGATAAGTGATCACTTTAGACAGCTTGGAAACATGAGTCATTTTTCTTACAGTGCTTTTATTGCTTCTTTCTCAAGGGTTATTTTATTCAGCAGTGCAAGGTTATCCAAAATCAAACATGAGTTGCATTGTTTGATACCAGAGTACACATGTCTCCAGAGAATCTGCATCTGTGGGGTGTGGGGATGGGCCTGGGTGAATGAAAAGGACTGCTGACAGTGGCCTAGATTTAGCAACTACATTAGACAAAGAGGAAAACTTGGAGGGGGTTGGCCTCAAATGGCAGCAGTCTGTGGGTTATGGAAACATGTAGAAATGTCTTTTTTTAATTTGGAAGTGAGACATGGCCTTCTTTTTTCCTATGTGTGTTTTCTCCTCAGTGCTAGAACTGCCACAGTTGAAATCTGCAGTTCTTGCAGCCAGAAGGTGAATAAATGATTCTTTCTCCACTTCCCCTTGAGGCTGGTTGTAGAAGATGGGGCTGAGGGGCCAATGTAGCAAAATAGACACAGGCTTTTGAGTCTCAGAAACTCCCACCATTGCATATAACCCCACTACTGCTAATGAGGATATTCTTCTCCAGTCCTCTGGTCAATTTTATCTGGGGGTTTTAAAATACTTTGTAAATCTAGCAATTAAATTTCCATATGCCTCCCAGGATCAAAGTTCCACCCTCATTTTTCCAGGTGGTTATACTGAAGCATCCTGGGTAAATTGTTTAAGGTAATTAGAATCAGGCAGAACACTGGGAAATGTTTAGTGTAACAGAACAGAGTTGTTGTTGTTTCTTTATTTGCCTATTTTTTTCTTTGGCTTCTTAAATCCACTAAAGTTCAAGAGATCATATGCATGGTACATAAGCCATATGATAAACATGGAAAATTAAATGCAAAGAAATGGAAAAATTTCTATCATTATTATTAAAAAGTAAGGTAACAATTTTATTGACCTCACTTTCAAGGCTTTTTCAGTGAAAGACTTAAAATTTTAAACTGTAACCTTTAATCTTATGAAGGCATAAGCTCTGCCACCATAGGACTCCCTTGAGTTCTGATTTTCAAAAAGAATAATTGTTATAAATTGGAATAGAAACTTTCTATACTAAGATTCTCAATAAATTTAAGTTTTGGCTGAAAAAAGGTAGGAGAGACATTAAAAATTTCTTTAAACTTTGTGCTAAAAAAATCAGATATTTGGTGAATCAAGTTTGAATTTGAGGTGAAAGTATCTCCATATATTTTAATTTGGAGGTCACCTGTTATTTTCTTTTTCTTCTCTGTCACGATCAGTGAAAAGTAACCCCAAAATTTTAGACTAAGGATATTTTTGTGTTGTATATTTTCCATAAAAAAGAATATTTTTGTTTTGTGTTGTACAAAAAGAGTTGTATCAGTGTTACCTAGAGGAATATATTATCCAGATAGTGAAGTTATTAAAATGATGAGAAAAGCTAAGCATAAAGGATGAGGCAACCTAGACAGCATATTAAAAAGCAGAGACATTACTTTGCCAACAAAGGTCCGTCTAGTTGAGGCTATGGTTTTTCCAGTGGTCATGTATGGATGTAAGAGTTGGACGATAAAGAAACCTGAGCACCGAAGAATTGATGCTTTTGAACTAGGGTGTTGGAGAAGACTCTTGAGAGTCCCTTGGACTGCAAGGAGATACAACCAGTCCATCCTAAAGGAGATCAGTCATAAGTGTTCATTGGAAGGACTGATGTTGAAGCTGAAACTCCAATACTTTGGCCACCTGATGCAAAGAGCTGACTCATTTGAAAAGATCCTGATGCTGGGAAAGATTGAAGGTGGTAGGAGAAGGGGACAACAGAGGATGAGATGGTTGGATGGAGTATGAGTAAACTCCAGGAGTTGGTGATGGACAGGGAGGCCTGGTGTGCTGCAGTCCATGGGGTCGCAAAGAGTTGCAAAGAGCGACTGAAATGAACTGAAAGGATGAGGAAAGCTGATATTATATCACTCATCTTTAATTTCAAAACGCCATCCTAATAGGGTAGCCCTCCAGTGGAGACCATCACTCTCACCACTGTAACAGGGTTTGGTGGGACTGCTGAAAGTTCCAAATAAACTTTGGCTTTCATCTTCTTTGCCAAAATATATAAATGATTTAGTTGATAAATGGATAGAGGAGAACTGGCTCTTTTAACAGTACAAGGAAATAAAATTAGCAGTCAGACTACTTGGATTTAAGACCAGCTTTCTATTTACAAACTTTATGACTGAACAAATTTCCTAACCTCTCGGTGCCTAAGAGGTTAAGCATCCTCACCTGTGAATAGGAAAGATGACTGTTCCCACTCCCACATGTAGCATGTATATCCAATGATTCTGCCTAGCACAATGCACAGAATGGTTATCGGCTCTCAATAAGTGTAAAATATTGAATTACTATTACTACTATTAGTTATCACTACCTTTTACCACCAGAAGACAAGTATGTGGTGCTCTGAATTTCTCAACAAGGATGCGATACTTAGATTACTACTTAGAAAATGCTGTCCTACAGACACAAGTCAGTTTGAAGACAAAGAATATTTCCTGAGGTGCAAGTTTATTGGGAGGTTCATTACTCCATTGTTGAAGAGTTTCTGAACCAGGAAAATTCTGAGATGAGCAAAATACAAGAAAATTTACAGATTTTTCTTTTAGATTTAGACTTTAGAATTTGATTCAATAGTAGATAATGAATGAAACAAAATATTCATAAATTACTTCTTCCTCCAACCAGTCACCCATTCAGGCCATTACAAATAAAATATTCAGGATTTAGCTCCTGGGACACAAAGGTCCCAGCATGGCCCTTTGGCTGGAGCCGTGTATAGTCTAGGGGCAGCCTGGAGGCCCACTGCCAGGATGTACCCCTCTGAACTTCCCAACACCTCTTTTGAGGTAGCTCTCAACTACCTTGATTCCGAGTAACTTGACTGAAAGCAGGAATTCATTTGGGTCCTAGGAGCAGGATCAAGCTTAGGGAGGCAGGGACATCCCAGGACCTGAGAGGATCACTGGTGAGAGTGGCAGATCCAGGGGTGAATTCCAGCATTGCCTCTTCCCAGTATTTGTTTGTCCTTGGCCAAGTGACTTCATCTCTCTAAACCTCGGTTTCTTCATCTGTGAAACGAAGCTCATAGGATGTTGTGAAGCTCGTATGAGGTACCATCTACAACACATGTGTGACTTGGCACAAGAGTGAGCACTCAATTTGTCAGCTCTCATTACTGCTACCAATAACACATTTGAGAACAACCATCCTGTATTATTTCTCTGGGATCCCTGTCAAAAATATATAGGCTCTTCACTGGCATGAATATGTAAATTAACAATAAGATTTTAAGAGAGAGCAGGTAAATTATGATGAGGTGAGGAGTAATCTGGGGTAAGTACCAGGGTTGAAGACTGCCAAGCAGATAATGGGCCTTGATGAGATATTAAATGGTGATTCTTGGGCTATGGAAGGACACTCAGTATTGATGGAGTGCCAGGGGCTCCCATGAAGAAGGGGCCCTGAGGAAGATTCCATTCCTATATTATGGTTTTACCTTCTAGGGATTGCTTCAGTTCAGTTCAGTCGCTCAGTTGTGTCCAGCTTTTTGTGTGACCCCATGGACTGCAGTACGGCATGCTTCCCTGTCTATCACCAACTCCCAGACCTTGCTCAAACTCATGTCCATCAAGTCGGTGATACCATCCAACCATCTCATTCTCTATCATCCCCTTCTCCTCCTGCCTTCAAACTTTCCCAGCATCAGGGTCTTTTCCAATCAGTCAGTTCTTCACATCAGGTGGCCCAAGTATTGGAGCTTCAGCTTCAGCATCAGTCCTTCCAATGAATATTTAGGATTGATTTCCTCTGAGATTGACTGGCTGGAGCTCCTTGCAGTCCAAGGGACTCTCAAGAGGCTTCTCCAACCCCACAGTTCGAAAGCATCAATTCTTGACAGCACTCAGCTTTCTTTATGGTCCAGCTCTCACATCCATACATGACTACTGGAAAAACCATGGCTTTGACTAAATGGATCTTTGTCAGCAAAGTAATGTCTATGTTTTTAAATATTCTGTCTAGGCTTGTTGCAGCTTTTCTTCCAGGAGCAAGCATCTTTTAATTTCATGGAAGCAGTCACCATCTGCAGTGATTTAGGAGCCCAAGAAAATAAAGTCTGTCACTGTTTTCACTGTTTCCCCATCTATTTGCCATGAAATGATGGGATGAGATGTGATGATCTTCGTTTTTTGAATGTTGAGTTTTAAGCCAGATTTTTCACTCTCCTCTTACTATCAAGAGGCTCTTTAGTTCTTCTTCGCTTTCTGCCATAAGGGTGCATATTGATATTTCTCCTGGCAATCTTGATTCCAGTTTGTGCTTCATCCAGCCTGGCATTTTGCATGATGTACTCTGCATATAAGTTGAATAAGCAGGATGACAATATACAGCCTTGACTGACTCCTTTCCCAATTTGGAACCAGTCTGTTGTTCCATGTGAACATGTTGTTCCGTGTTCTAACTGTTGCTTCTTGACCTGCAGGCAGATTTCTAAGGAGGCAGATAAGGTGGTCTGCTATTCCCATCTCTTAAAGAATTTTCCACAGTTTATTGTGATCCACTCAGTCAAAGGCTTTGGCATAGTCAATGAAGCAGAAATAGATGTTTCTTCTGGAATTTTCTTGCTTTT